ATCTATTCAATCTCTCTCATCTCTCTCAAATCTATACTAATTTCCTCTTCTATATATTGCTTATTTTATTTATATTTGCAATTTCATGAAAACATTGTGAAAGTTGGTGAATTGAATTTCATTAGTCTTCAAGCCTTCAACGATTTTCAATTTTCAAGAGTTTGGTCGGCAATTCGAGTAAACTGTTCAAACTCTTCAAGGTTTAAGGAATATATTTTTGTGTGTTTAGTTTGATAATTGTAATGTAATATGGCATTTTCTTTGAAAAAAAAATGTTTAGGTGGAAGGGAAAAGGTCTAAAATTGTGAAAGTAGTCTCCAACCTCTACCCTTCCCCGGCTCCCCGACCCAACCTATTACCCGTCCTGCTGCTTCCTATTATTCTTGATAGTGATAACCCTTGTTTCAATTTTCCGATAAGTGAATTTTGCCATAATGTTGCACAAGGTGAACAATTAAATTGAAGAAGTTATGAATGCTCTTTATCCTAATCAAACTATCTTAGAAATGATGGGGAAAATGAGGATGTAGATGAAAACCCAGAGGATATTGACGATTCACAGCGACATAGTCCTGTTAATAACCCAACTGTGCCCCGCAACCAGACCACCTTGTAGAAACCCTACTTTTAATTGACAACCTTCTAAACGCCTAGAATACATCATTAGTTTGGAATTTTTTTACTCAACGTAACGAGAACAAAATAAAAAGCTAGGTGTAAAACGTTGTGGGAAACTCTCATCGTGCGCATAAATATTATACTTGCAGAAACGTGACCGTAAGCGCGATACGGGTAGTTTGGCCCTAGGACAATACAAACACACCCTAAGGAGATAAAGTTAAATATTTACAAATGAGAAGTGCAGCAAGAGGGGACAAGTGTAGATACTGCGGTTAACCCTAGTACAGCGTTCAAATCTAGTCAACACCAGGAACTTAACACTGTGACGGTGTGTTATTTTTATATTACGAATCCTAAATAAAAGTTTGAAGAATTAGCAAAAGGATGGTTACCGTTTATGTGGCTTACCAACTATACTTTTCCTTCTAAACCTTAATTGGTGCATTATATTAGAAAAGTTTTTAATCCTACTTAAACGGTTAGGCCTCGCGCAAGCAGTTAAGAGCGATATTTATAAATATAAACATGAATTATGAAACAATATTTGTCGGTATTTATTACTCATATAAAACTATCGGATTTCTATTACTACTGATATTGGTAGAAGTAATTAATGACTGTGATTAATCTAACTGTTACAAGTCGTTGTATAGACGAGAGTGCTAAGCAAAAACGCATTATTGCGTATAGAATAATTATATTCACGTCACCAACAGTAAGTTTTGCTTAACACTGTGCAGATATTTGTAGATTATTTTTGCATTAGAGATAAAATAATGGCAATTGTTTATGGGATAATGCTTTCTAGTAAACACTAGTGCTATAGGCATACTTACAAACAACACTAAATCCTGCCATGTTACGTAATTGTTTCATGTAGATGCTATTTGCAACATTTTACCATTTATATCGATCGAGTATAGCCGATGTGTATTGAAGAATGTTTTAAACTGATTTAAGCGAAAATTGAAAAGGTTTAGAATGACTCTTAATTGCCTTTTTTTATCAAAACCGCTTCGAGAAAATGTGCTAGCTTCTTGAGAGTAGCTACTTTTAAACCAATGTGATGAATTTGGCCTTAGAGAGAAGAAAGGTTCCTAAACCTTGGTCCAAACTAGATGGAAGTCTACTCTATACACGTCACAGAAGGTTTAGGAATAGTAGACGCATAGAATAGATCATAAAGAAACCCAATTAATTGCACTGTTTAATGCTCATGTTGGTGGTGAGGATGATGATGAAATCGTTACAAATCAAGATCTGGACGAATGTAAAATTCTTAATAGATTTTTTAGAACATTTTCAATTTGGCTACAAATGCATTTTCTGGACAATTTATCCTACTATTTCAAATTGTTTTAGTTTATATTGGCAGACTTGTGATTTGTTTGTTTGAAATTTTCGGAGGGTGGCGGAAATTTATTAAACTTGCTATAACTGCAATGAAAGAAAAGTTTAAAAAAT